CTGATTTGGAATGCGGTGAATAATTTTCTTCCGTGTCTGGCCCCAAACCCCGAAACCCCCTAAGCCCCTTAAACGCTCCACCCTCCCGCCCTCCCGCCCCCTCTGGTTCGGGCTGAATAGGTGACCCTAAATTTCAGGCCTAGCGGCACGGGCCGGCCCCCGCCCCCCAAAGCACGAAACCTTGAACCTTGGCACTGTCTTCTCTTTCCCGTGTCTTTGTCCTCTCCTTCTCTCTGTCTCTCTTTCTCCTGCCTTCGCCCCCCCTCCCTCCCCCCCCCCCCCCCCCCCCCCCCCCCCCCCCCCCCCCCCCCCCCCCCCCCCCCCGCCCCCCTGCGCGCGCGCGCGCGCGCGCGGCATCAGGAGCATCAGTGGGGTTGGTTTGGGGGCCTTAAAAGCATTCTATGCATGCGTTTTGCCTTCGAAAAACCTTCAGAAAACGCTGTAAACACGTGTTTTTGGGCTTGGGAAGCCTTTTGGGACCCAGGAAAGGGAGCATCATGAGCATCAGCGGCCTACCCCAGGCCATCCAAAACCCCCTTAAACACGCCGATTGTATGTGCTTGAACGCTTGCGTGCCCACGAAACCCCCAAAAGCAAGACCCCGAATGCCCATAAGGGCATTCGGGGTCCTGCTGTTCGGGTGTTTTGTAGGCACGAAGCCGTTCGAGCGCGTAAAATGAGCGATTTTAGGGGCGTTTTTACGTGGACCCACAAAACACTCGGTATTTACGAGGTTTTCTGCTGTTGGAACACCCCAAACCGAGCATCATGAGCATCAGCTGGGTCTCTGGGCCGTGGGCCCGGACCCCCCCACGAAGCCCAAGAGAAGCGATGGCTCGATGATGCGCCCGGACCCCGCGCATCAGCAGCATCAGCAGACACCCCCCCGGACGTGGGTTTCGATGATGCGCACTTTGGGGGCGGGTCAAGGGCAACAGGGGTGGGGGTCGGAGGCACGCGTGAAAAACCTCATAAAAACACGGTATTTCCGGTGATTTCAGCGTTTTTCAGCGTTTTTTATTGCCTTGGGGCCGCGGGCCAGGGCTGCTGATGCTCATGATGCTCGCCTGGTTTTGGGCTTCCGGTACCCCCCCCAAACCTTGAAAAACGTGGTTTCGGCCTGGCGCGCGCCCCATGTGAAAAGCTAGGGCCGATGATGCGCGCCCGTGAGGGTTTAATGGGGTGCTGCGGGTGTTTTGTGGCCTCGGTTTTTCGTAAAAACCCATGGTTTTTTTTTTTTACGTGGTTTTCGTGCTTTTCGCACCACCGCGTGTTGCGTCCCCTTGGATGCCGTTTTGGAGGCCTCCCGAAGGGCCCCGCGCGAATTTGAGCAATTTTGGGCGGGGTCGGCGGCTCGGGCGCTCGCCCCTTAAAGCTAGCGCTTTAGTGCGACGCGGGCTCTGGCCTGGACCACGGGCGGCGCGGGGGCCGGATTTAATGGCTGCCGCCAATGCCGCCGACCCCGAGCAGTTCTCCCAAATCCAGGCCGAGTCAAACTTTGGGCATCCCTTAAAAGATTTCTTTTGAAGCAGGAGGGCGGGCATCGGGGCAGGCTGAAACCCTAATTAAGCCCTAAACTTAACCCCTTGAAGTTGCCAGCTCCGCCCCGTGCTAGATGGGCATCTTCCCTAAACCCTAAACCCTAAACCCCAAACCCCAAACCCCAAACCCTAAACCCTAAACCCTAAACCTAAACTCTAAACCCTAAACCCTAAACCCTAAACCCTAAACCCGAAACCCGAAACGCTAAACCCTAAACCCTAAACCCTAAACCCTAAACCCTAAACCCTAAACCCTAAACCCTAAACCCTAAACCCTAAACCCTAAACCCTAAACCCTAACCCTAAACCCTAACCTAAACCCTAAACCCTAAACCCTAAACCCTAAACCCTAAACCCCAAGCCTGCGCTTTCAACAATTCCAGAGAGGCGGCTGCCAAACTCCTTCAACTGGGTCTGGCGCCTCGCCAGGATATTGGACATGCACGTCATCAGGGTTCAGGGTTCAGGGTTCAGGGTTTAGGGTTTAGGGTTATCGAGGCGGGCGAAGTCTCTTGGAAAAGGGTTTAGGGTTTAGGGTTTAGACTTGTGCTTTTGGTGTTGAGCATCGACTCAATAGGCACACGCGCCCCGGAAGCCCTGAACTGTTTCTTGGGGGTTTTTCTTCTGTGACATACCAGAGGGCTTCTTTACAGGGATCCTACATGTAGGGGTTTTCTGCATTGGATCCTATACTTCTTCTTAAGCTCTCACATGTGAAGTGACATCAGAGACCAGCAGAAGGCCAACAGCTATAGGTTGCACGGCCGAAACCCAGCAACTCCTTTAGTTGGGCGCCTTAGCACCACGTGCATCTCTGAGCCCGAAACCCAAAATTAAAACCCAAAAAACCAAAACCTCTTAGAACCCACTAGTTCTTCCCCCATTGCCTGAAGACCTTCGCTGAAGGCCGAAGCACCCTAAACCCGAAACCTTAGGGTTTAGGGTTTAGGGTTTAGGGTTTAGGGTTTAACCTTAGGGTCCTTATAGCTCTGCCTTGAAGAGGTCGAGTCCGAACGAGACCACCTGGCGTTAATCCGGGGCCTCGGGCGACAAGGAGCCTGGGCGGCTTCCTTGGAGGCCTAGGAGGGTTTGGGTTTTTTTTTGTGGTTTGAGCCCTAAACCCTAAACCCCAAACCCTAAACCCCAAACCCTAAACCCTATAAACCCTATAAACCCTGTAAACCCTAAACATTTGCAGGGCTCAGGGATGCTTTGTTTTTTTTAAGGGTTCGGGATGCCTGGATGTATTAAGACCATGGTTGAAAAAGGGGTTTGGGGTTGGACTTGGTCCGGGGATTTAGAGGTTTAGGGTTACTTGAAGTTGGGATGTTCCCCCTTTCTCCAGCAGTCCTTAATAGGGATTCTAGTAGGGGATACTAGTAAATCCCCATTAATGACTGTTAGTATAAGGGGGACCAAGGCATTCGACAAATGGCTTTCCACAAGTGTCCAGGAGTTGTCAGAGCGCCGGTGGTTTGTAGGCTTTAGTCTTTAGGGTTCAGGGTTCCTTTTGTGTTGCATTGTTGTGGAACATAAGACGTCGTATTCGTGTCCACAGATGTGAACCTTGGCATGAGTTTAGGAGGATGCTGAGATCAAATTCGGGCTCCTGAACCCGATCCTTACCCTTAGGCACATAGTAGCCCAAGGACCTTGTTTGAAGAAGGATTTTGGGCCCAAAAAGTCCTTAGAGCCGTTACAAGCCCGAAACCCCGACATAAGGGGTATAGAACCCCGAGCAAACCTTGTATAGTCCCTATATACCTAAGTAGCCCCGAAATATCACCCGAAAGAACCCCTAAGGTCCCATACAAGGGTCCCTCCTTTGAAAAGGAAAATTTCGTCGCTTGACACTCTAAACCCTAAACCCTAAACCCTAAACCCTAAACCCTAAACCCTAAACCCTAAACCCTAAACCCTAAACCCTAAACCCTAAGCCCTGAACAGGTCTTTAATGCCATGCAGAATGCAAAGCTGCAGCCCACTGATCTCCACTTTACAGCGCTCATGCGGGCCTGCACGAAAGGCTGTGGGCTGCTTGTGTCCTTGGGGAGCGAAGGTTCTCATAAAGAGGGTTATGGCTCACAGACCTGAATGGGGAGTAGAGTAGTCCAGGGAAGATGACGCCATTTGTTTGGGTTCATGTGGTCCCCAGGCTTTGCTGCCGTGGGTGAAAAATGTCCGCACGTTGAGATTGCCAGGCGACACGGGGCGGTCTTTGAGAAACGCCTGTGAAGGTTGCCGCACGACCAGGCTGACCCTAAACCCTAAACCCTAAACCCTAAACCCTAAACCCTAAACCCTAAACCCCAAACCGAAACCCTGAACCGAACCTTTTGGCTCAGGTCCAGCTCAAGAGCTTGAGGTGCCACTGTAAGCTTCCCAACCACTCGAGGAACATGAGAGGCTTTGCGGTGTTGGTGCTGTTCACAGGCGCGCTCCCCGCCTGGAGCGAAGATGCCCGAGTCTTACTTCGCCTTTAGCTGAACTTTAAACTTTTTGGGTTTCCTTTTTTGTAGGAATATTAAAGTTTAACCTTTTTTCCCCTTGGTCATTGGAGAAGTAAGGAGCCCTGTCCGAAATTGAGGCACTTCGGGACGAGCTTCTGGAGCAGCGCCGCATCATCCAACGACAGTTCATGCAGCTCGCCGAGCTTGCGGAAGATGACGAGCCTTAGTCGTGGAGTGGGTAACCTTGTATCACCTTTTGGGGGTATTCGAACCCCGATATTTACATTAAACAAAATATATATATATATATACTTATTTATTTATATTTATATTTATATTTATATTTATATTTATATTTATATTTATATTTATATTTATATTGATTTATATACATATATGTATATATAAACATATATATATATATATGTATACATATCTTCCCCTTGGTTAACATTTAGTTCCGATGATACTGGACATCCTCAGGAGCGCCGCCTGCAGTCCAGCAATGCCTCGGTGACGGCCGCGGCCTGGGCCACGGAGAAGGCCGCACTTGAGACGGCGCAGGGCAGCACCCTGGGGACGAAGTTGAGGGTTTTAAGGGGTTTTAGGGTTTTTTTGGGGGTTTTCGGGGGTTTTAGGGTTTTAGGGTTTTTAGGGTTTTTGGGTTTTTAGGGTTTTGCTTGGCTTTCTCCTGGCTGGCTCTTAGGACTTTAACCTTTTGGGTTGCCGAAGGAACTACAATATAGGGAGCCTAAAAGTTAAACTTTCTAGGAGGGGATCAGAAGTCAGCCAAGTATAGGTTTGAGCTCCGGATCCTCGAATCCCTAATAAAATCCCTGTCAGGAGGGTAGACGGACCACCAATTTCTTTTTTGGGAATTCCTTTTGAGTCCCAAGCCCTAGACCCTAAACCCTAAACCCTAAACCCTAAACCCTAAACCCTAAACCCTGAACCCTAAACCCTAAACCCTAAACCCTAAACCCTAACCCTCAAACCCTAAACCCTAGGCATGGGTGCTGCCTTGGACAGCCTTTGGCTTTGCCTCTGCGGTGCACTCGTGATGTTTATGCATGCCGGCTTCGCCATGCTTGAGACCCTTGGAGGGTTTAGGGTTTAGGGTTTAGGGTTTAGGGTTTAGGGTTTAGGGTGAGGGGGCTTAGGCTTCCATGTAAGGTAGGGATTAGAGTCATTAGTATGGCATGTGTGGGGTCTCTAATCCCTAGACTAACCCTAAACCCTTCTCCCTGAACCCTTTGGCCCCAAGGACGGGGAGCTGCCGTTCTAAGAACGCATCGAACGTGTTGATGAAGAACTTGGTGAACGTGTGCGTGGGCACGATCGGCTGGTGCCTTGGGGAGCACATGAACCCCTAGAAGACCTCAGTAGGGATTACAGTAGTATATGGGGTATGTGACCCCTAAACTCTAAACCCTAAACCCTAAACCCTAAACCCTAAACCCTAAACCCTAAACCCAAAGAGTTCCTGTGGTGGCCAAAAGGTGGGTCTTGGGCTATGCCTTCGCCCTTGGGTCCGGCAGCAACCGCTTCGTGGGCACGACCGGCTTCCTTGGAGCGGCTTGGTAGCCCAGGGCTTGGGTTTAGGGTTTAGGGTTTAGGGTTTAGGGTTTAGGGTTTAGGGTTTAGGGTTTAGGGTTTAGGGTTTAGGGTTTAGGGTTTGGGGTTTGGGGTTTGGGGTTTGGGTTTAGGGTTTAGGGTTTAGGCACTGGGCCACCAAGGAGGGCTTCTACACCAAAGATGCCAGCGGGAACATCGTCCCGCTGTCTTGTGCCGGCAACGCTTGCCAAAGCACTATGCTGATGTGGTTCTTCCAGTGGGCATTTTGCACAGCGGGAGCTGCTCAGTAGGCCCTTGGGATATTTTGTTTGTTTTGCTTTCCAGTTGTGGGGTCTATGTTGGCCCCTCAATTATACCAACCTTAATGATACTAACAGTCCTTAGTAGGGATTGTAATAGGGGGCACCAGAATCACTTGTCAGAAGGTTCTTAGCATGGGGCCGTGCCTAGGCCACCATCGTCAGCGGAGCCGTTGCTGAGCGTGTGCAGGGCCCCACCTACGCGGCCTACGCCTTCGTGATGACCAGCTACATGGTGGATTTAGGGTTTAGGGTTTAGGGTTTAGGGTTTCTGGACTAGATGCCAGTGGTGCCCCGTTGCCTCCTTGGCTTCGTGGGGTCCCATATTCAGCCAGCGCACGGAGAAAGACCCTAAAGCGTTCTTTTTCGAACGCTAAACCCTAAACCCTAAACCCTAATCCTCTGGGCTACCCAGGCTTGATTTACCCACTGGTCGTGCATTGGGGATGGAGCGGCATGGGATTCCTCGGAGATATCTTGGATGTCGGTCTCTTGTCTTGATTAATTAGGCGTTTTGCAATCCAGAAAGCATGTACCTACACACACATATATATATATACATATATATATATATATGTATACGTATATATATATATATATGTGATATGCAACACTATTTGTGTATATGTGCCTGTATACGTTTATGTGTATAGGTAACAACCCTCCAGCTTCTGCCCACGTTCCGGGTGCCTGAGAGCTCAGGCGTCATGGACTTCGCGGGAAGTGGCATTGTGCACTTGACAGGTGGTGTCAGCGGTCTTGCAGGAACTGCAGGGGTAAAAGGAGGGACCCCTAGAAGGGACCCTTCGCTCGTTTTCCTCCAGTTAACCCCAATGTGTACCTTATCTAGTGCCATATATATATATATATATGCCTTATACAGCCCCTTATGTACCCTATATAGTCCCTCTCTACCTAAGTAGCCCCCTCGCAGGAACCGTCGTGCTTGGGCCACGGAAGGGGCGCTGGACCAGCCCGGAGGAGTTCGAGCCCCACAATCTTCCTCTCGCTACTTGATGGCGTGTGGTTTAGGGTTTAGGGTTTAGGGTTTAGAAAAAAGGGTTTAGGGTTTAGGGTTTAGGGTTTAGGGTTTAGGGTTTAGGGTTTAGGGTTTAGTTTAGGGTTTAGGGAACTTTGAGATGCCTCTTCCCTAAGGGTCCATGTACCGATGTAGTCTATCCTTGGGCCTAAGGCTACTACATAGGAAGCCCTTTAAGGCCCAGCCTGCACTCGGATGCCGATGTTCTCCATATGCCAAACGTGGCAAAGACATCAACCCAGACCTCTTAAATTTCAGTGCTCGTGGTTTAGGGTTTAGGGTTATTTCAGTGCTCCTGCTCTTGTGTTTGGCGATTCCAGACGTGTCAGTCGTTCCGCATGTGCAAACTTATGTCTTCAGTCTTTATTCGCACACAGCTTCATCTCCCAATGGCCCCTGTTTCGGGTCACTGCATTGCTAGAATGCCGTGAGATCGTGTAACCTGACTCCTCAGCATGTGAGGGAGGGGATGAGAGGCGAGAAAATAGGGCAGCCCTCATGCATCCGCCAAGGTTGTGAACAACCCTAAACCCTAAACCCTAAACCGTAATCCTGCATCTGCCAAGGTTGTGTTTGGCACATTCGCCCTGTGGTTCGGCTGGTACGGGTTCAACCCCGGCTCCCCAGATGATCTCGGCATCATGTTCGGCTGGGTTTAGGGTTTCGGGTTTAGGCTTTAGGGTTTCGGGTTTAGGGTTTAGGGTTTAGGGTTTGGGTTTAGGGTTTAGGGTGATGGAGGATGTAGGGTGGAGGTTTTACAGGGGTACGTGGTTAGTTAAGGTTTATAGGGCGTTATAGGGTACATAGGGTTGTACAGCGTTCGGGTTGGAGCTTAGGGCTTAGCAAGACCTGGAGTGGACAAAACAGCACCACAGCATGAAAGGAAGGTAGCTACACTTTCTGCTCGCAGATCAAACCCTAAACCCTAAACCCTAAACTCTAAACCCTAAACCCTAAATGCAAGGTTCCACCCTCGGAATGGGCGACGGCACCACCGGTGCCCTTGCGGCGCAGGTAGCCATGAACACCACGCCCCTTGGGGACCAAATGAACCCTAAAACTGGGGGTTTAGGGCTACGTAGGGTTTAGGGTTTAGGCTTTAGGGTTTAGGGTTTAGGGTTTAGGGTTTAGGGTTACGTATTACATATCCTATCTACTATGGTTTATGAGCCCCAAACCCTTTTAAGGTTCATTTGGTCCTTAAGGCTGGCAGCCGCCACGGGTGGCATCACCGTCTTCATCATTCGCTACATCCTCCTTCGCAAGTACGATGTGGCTGGGAGGGAAGACTCATATGGCTCAAAATTCCCATAGTACAGTAAAGTTAAGTAGGTACTCAACAATGTCGCAGATAGATGCACACGGACACCACCTCTCCACATCTCTACAAAGTAAACAAGCTAGGAGCTCGACACCTCCAGGACAACTTGCTTCAAAGTCTCGAGTTTGGAATCCGAATGCGGCAGATTCAAAACGAAGTTTCCCTGGGCCGTAGGGTGTCCTAGGACTCGAACATCCCGTGGTTAGAAGGTTTCCACCCCTTCCTGAACGCCTAGAGGTAGACCTTGGAGTGACCTCCTTTAAGGGTTAAGATACAAAACCAGGCAGTTTCACACTCCCGTGTCTGGTGACTGTATAGGGAAGGGCCCCATAGATACTGATGGGTGTTTGATGAGTGTCCTTTCGGGGACCCTAAACCCTAAAGTTTAGGGAAAACCTCACCTGCTCCTGCCAAAAAAGTCAAAGGTGCTTGTTTTTTTCCACTTGGAAAGAGAGCCCGGAGCCGAAAACCCACACTTTTTTTAATTTTTTGTGCGAATTTGGCATTCTGCTGGAAAGTGGAATGGGGAGCCTCTAACCGTGCAATAGAGTCTCTCTCTCCTGGTTAAATAAGGCACAGAAAGCCCGTTCAGAAAGCCGCACCTGCTACTGCGAAAAAGAGAAGAGCAGAGAAAGTAGCGAAAAGCAAAGAAGAGCGGAGAAGCGAAGAGAACCCTGGCCCTTAGGGTTTAGGGTTTAGGGTTTAGGGTTTAGGGTTTAGGGTTTAGGGTTTAGGGTTTAGGGTTTAGGGTTTAGGGTTTAGGGTTTAGGGTTTAACCTGACCCCCGGGGAATTGGAACCTTTTACGGTTCGGTTTCTCTTTCGGTTCGGTTCGACGGTTCCGGTTTTACTACTCGATTCACAGGTTCCGGTTCTGACGGTTCCGATTCCACGGTTCGCGGTTCGGTTCCTGCTCTTCCTACTAAATAAACCCTAAACCCAACCTTTAAACCCTAAACCCTAAACCCTAAACCCTAAACCCTAAGCCCTAAGCCCTAAGCCCTAAACCCTAAACCCCAAACCCTAAACCCTAAACCCTAAACCCATCCTACTTCATATCCAGCAGTGGACGCAAACCTCCAAAAAACACGCTTCCTCGCGAAAACGGCCTCCTACCAGGAACTCCGGATGCCTAAGTATACTACTACTAGCCTAAGAACCCCCCCCCCCAAAAAAAAAAAAAAAGAAAACACTAATAAAGCAACATAAAAAAGTAAAGCAACATAAACAATGTTATTCCTTATAAGGGTAACATAGGGATTATTGTCTTGAGTTTTTGTGGGGGTTCGTAAGCAAGAGGAGTATATAGTAGCATACTTGCACGACACAGAGCCGTGCACGTCCCACTGTAGATTAGGGCTTAAAGGGTTTAGAGTTTACAAGGAGGGGCCCCCTTTCTATACTCACTATAGTGAAGGGACTTATAACCTAAGTTGGAATCCTTATCACCCAATTGAGGGTCCTATTAACTTTATTAATAACAGGGGGAACCCTCCTTGTAGGGTTCGGGCTTCCTCGTTGAAAAAAGGCGGCTGAGGATATCTTTACATTTACTGAAGTTAGAACCTCCAGCCCTAAACCCTAAACCCTAAACCCTAAGGTGGGCGGCCTTTGCAATGGCATCCTTGCCGGGCTCGTGTCCATCACGGCACCCTGCGGAAACGTCGAGTGCGGCAGCGCCTTTGCCATCGGTCTCATCGGGGCCTTCGTGTACCAGGGATCTTCCATGCTCCTCCAGAAGCTGAAGATTCTCTTCCTAGCTGAATGAGTACACTATAACAGGGGCCCCAGGCTACTGTTAGTCCAAGGGGGGAACATCCCAACCCTAAACCCTAAACCCTAAACCCTAAACCCTAAACATCCCAAGACGTAAGGATTGATGATCCTGTGGATGCCTGTCCAGTCCATGGCTTTTGTGGCATCTGGGGCGTCCTGGCTGCTGGACTCTTCGACTGGGGCAACTTGGTAAGCCCAATGGTGCCCGTGTTTCCCCTTTTGGGGGGGTTTAGGGTTTAGGGTTCAGGGTAGGTAACCTTTAACCTTTTTGGTGTAATACCCCTTATAATCCCAAAGGTTAGCCTTTAATTCCCCCAGGTTCCTGGGCAACTGAGGGTAGCCCAGTGCTACCCCTGTTTGCCCCTTTTGCTGGGTTCCAGGCTCCCTTATCCAGTAACCAGCCCCCAAGAACGGGAACCCCAAAACCCTAAACCCTAAACCCTAATGTTTACTGGACTACCAAGGCAAGGGATTTGATCACTTCCATGGCTGGTCAGGATTTGGCTGCATGGCCAATGACGACGGCAGTTGCAAGACCGACATTAACGGCACAGCCCTGGGCGCCCAGTTCCTCCTCGTTCCTAGGTAGAGTGTTATCTGGGATACTTTTGATAGATTCCCCTTGGGATGTTCCCCCTTATACTAACAGCTCCTTAGTAGGGATTAGAATAGGGGGCTACTAGAATCCCTAAAAGGACTGTTAGCATAGGGTGTTTGGTTTTTGAGAGGATCATACTTAGGACTAGTTTTTCAGAGGGCTTCAAACTACTATTTGCTTCCCCTATATCGCCCTATAAGGAAGAAGATGTTGTGGGGGGGTTCTTAAGCAACTAGGGCCCAACCCCAACCAAGATCCTCTTTGTCATTGCTTGGGCTGGCACCATCTCGGCCTTGGCATTTGCCGTCCTCAAGTGGTGGGGGGCTCTGCGAATCGCTGAGGACACTGAGGAAATCGGGCTCGATGCCAAGGCACACTCGCCAGCAAAGGCTTATGCCTTTTCTGCTTAAAGGGCGCCATGTCGGCAGAACCTTTGAGCGTTGCTTTCTTTCCACCCATGCGAATGTGTAGGAGTGGAGCTCTTACACATCGTAGGATGACGAGGCGTCACTATGTGACCGCCTCAGTAGTCACTAGACAAGAGAGTGCTGTGCAACATGCCCACGCTCCTTCCTTGACATGCGGAGCTGGGACATCATCAGCTTATGCCACGCCCTCCGTTCTCAAACCCCGGGTTCTCAACATAATCGGCACTTCACCTGCTAGAAAGACAAAGAGAGTGCGTGAGAAACTCAATGATGTCACAGCTACACACATTACCTGCCTGAGTTCAGCTGCAAAAGAGATGGACGACAGCTGAACTCGGCCTGGTTTGGGAGGCATCATTTCGGCCTTTGCATCCTCGAACTGCCCTAATTAAACCCTAAGCCCTAAACCCTGCATATGGGGGGGGCTTCCGGGAGTAAGGGTACCTTATTGGGGCTTTTACTATAAGGGGTCTTCTTTCAGGGTTCCCTTATTTTCGTAAGCCCCCATATAGTGCTCCCAACCCTTGTGAAGTGAAGCTGCTTCTTGCACGAGGCGGCGAGCCTGCTGCGGCCATGCGCATTTTTGCCGAGGCCGGGAAAGCACGCCAAGCTTAAGCTGACCATCACAGGCAAGTCTGCAAGGTTCAGGGTTTTAAGGTTTTAGGGTTTAGGGTTTAGGGTTTAGGGGTGCCTAAGGAGAAGCTCAGCAGGTCTCTGATGGCCCCATGCCAATGTTCCAACATCGGTGTCATGCTCTTATCCAGTTGTCCCGGGGAGTATGAGTTTCCCACATGAGTATCAAACCCTCTAACCAGGAACCCCTCATGATCGGAAGCCACCCAAATACGAGGGCCTCACAGGCCCTCTTGTCGTACATCACGGAACTGTTTTTGATGCTGTGTGGTTTCTGTCCGTTGCTAGCTTAATGGTAGCTGAGTTCAATCTAATTATCTAATAAACCAACTTAATCTAGTAAACCCCCGCAAGCAGGGAGAAGCAAATGCTCACCGATTGCTGAGTGTCTAGAACTCAACCTAAGCGTCTGAAAGGCCTGCACGAGATTTCGGCCCCCGTCACACCTTCTTTCTCTGCAATCGGCGGTTCCTGACCCAATCTCTGCGCACTTGGGTCTGGATTTTTCCAGGTTGCTGAGCCGTCTGCGATGGTGTTCGCCGCCGCGATTTCCACTTGCGGAGCGGCTGGAGATTGGGAGTGCCTTAGATGCAAGTCGGACTATACGCGGCCGGCATGTCTTCCACTCAACACCTCCTAGGACCCGGAGTAGGCCCTTTGATCCTTTGTTTAGGATGAGGTTCCCTTACAATCCCCGTAAAACCAAAAAGGGCACCCTTTTTATTCCTAGGTTGCTCCTGGGTCTAGCCTCATAAACCCAGAAATTGAGGCTGCAAATCTTGCAGCTATGCCCCGCAGCCATTGCACCACAACCTGCCACCAGCTCCAGCGAGAATGTCTAAGCCCAGGGCTTGTAAGGGTTTCGGAAGGGGTAGAATTTTTGGAGCTTAGTTGCTTTTTTGAGGGGGTGGTGGGGGGAGTTAGGGTTTAGAGGGCTGAGGGTTCAGTTTGGGGGCTTTGAGGTTCTGGGCTTGCGGGCATCGAAGTACCTTCCACATGGGACCCTAAACCCTACTTAAACTTTGTCATAGTGGGGTAACATTTTACACTTGCAAGGGTACTTAAACTCAATAAGGAATAGACATCTAAGTTTTTTAATACTATCCCAACCATGAGCTGGTAACAGCTACTTATTGAGTTGACAAAGGGTGCGCCCCAAAACGTACGTGTGTGTGTGTGTGTGTGTGTGTGTGTGTGTGTGTGTGTGTGTGTGTGTGTGTGTCTGTGTGTGTCTGTGTCCATGCAGACTGCGGAAGCGGTTGCCCCAGGGTGGCATTGGACTTGCTGTCCGCGATGGAGGACAGGCAGAATTCTCATCCCTTTAGGCTCAGGATCCTCAAGCACTTTGAGTCTGAGGGTAGTTTCATGGGCCCTTAATATAGTTCCGAGCCTAATTTAAAGGGATCGCATGGGTCCTGATTTTGCTCAGGGTATATGCGGAGTAGATAAGGGGTCCCATTTTAAGGGGCCCATACTAAGGGACCATGTAACTACCCCAAAATTGAGAGTTGGTTTGTGCATTTGGAGTTAGCCCACCTTGCGCAACTCTCTAATCCATCCCCCGTTGCCTGGCTGGTTCTTAGGGGAGTGAGGGGATTGGGCGTCTATATATACCCTCTATATAAGGGTTTTTTCAGTATAGGGTACCTCATTCCCCCCATTCCCCCCATTCCCCACTAAGGACCTTGAGCAACTCTCCAATCCAACCCCCTTTGCGTGGTTATGGGTCTTGGGTTTGGGGCAAAGATGGGTCTTCCCCCCTCACTTGTGCACAGCCCACCCCTAAACCCTGAACCCTAAACCCTAAACCCTAAACCTTGGGACATCTCCCCACCTCTGCGGCGTTGCAGTCGACGTGCGATGACTTGAGCCTACTTAGCCAAGAGTAGAACTTTATATGTTTTGGGCTTCCGTATGTAGTTGGAGTAGTCCGGTTTAACTTCGGATTTTCCCCCTTATGCTAACAGTCCTTAGTACTCAATTTTAAAGACTGTTAGTATAAGGGGAACATCCCAAAGTGTAACCTCTATTTTTCTTCGCTATTGGAGAAGTGTGGCCCTAAACCCTAAACCCTAAACCCTAAACCCTAAACCCTAAACCCTAAACCCCCAGGATGCCGAGCTAAATCCAGACTTGGTCACCTTCAATGCGGCTTTGGCCGTCGCTTAGCATGGAAGCGCTTCACTGCCTTGCGGTTTAGGGTTTAGGGTTTAGGGTTTAGGGTTTAGGGTTTAGGGTTTAGGGTTTAGGGTTTAGGGTTTAGGGTTTAGGAATAAATACGAATAGTATTCCCTTATAGGTCCCTTCATAATCACACAACCATCGCAAGAGTAATCAAAAGGGGTCGGAATAAATGCGGGTTCCGGGACCATCCCAGTATGGTCTGGGGCTTTTGGTTTAGGGTTTAGGATTTAGGGTTTAGGGAGGGTTTAGGATTTAGGGTTTAGGGTTTAGGGTTTAGGGTTTAGGGTTTAGGGTTTAGGGCCCAGAAGCTTGAACCCTAAACCCCGCAAGTCCTTAAGAGAGTTTGGGGGCTTCAGGGGGATGAAGCTTAAGCCCTCTAAATACCCTAAACCCTACAAGACCTTTACAAACCTTAGACCAGGCCCCTCTACAGCAAGAGTACTTCAAAAAGAAAAGGCTAGAAGCCTGTGAAGTATGGGGAGGGTGGGTAGCTTAATGTAAGCGGCCTTCTGCAACCACGAATTCCTGCACCGTCCCCCCCCCCCCCCTCCCCCCCCAAAAAAAAATGAACCAACAACAAGATTCTTCTTGCATGTTTATTCGGATTTGCTTTTATGATGCACACTCACCACACATGGGAACAAACCTTGAAGCCTAAACCCCAAACCCCAAACCCTAAACCCTAAACCCCAAACCCCAAACCCTAAACCCCAAACCCTAAACCCTAAACCCTAAACCCCTGTTTGGAGGCCTGCCACCGGGCTGTGAAGTCCAAGCCGGCTCTTCGGATCCTAGAGGCGCAGCAATGGGGATGTAGGGCTCTAGGTGCTTGGGGAGGTTCATGGGTTTAGGGTTTAGGGTTTATAGGGTTTACAGGGTATATCGGGTTTATCGGGTTTATAGGGTTTAAGGTTTCAGGCGCGGAGATTCCGGTGTGGCCATAAGGAGGGCCTAAACCCCCTAAACCCTAAACCTTGGAGACGTCTAACTTGCTCATCATCCCCCCAGCCTTAACCCCCCAAAAAAAAAGATTACAAACAACAAAAGAAAACCATCATAATCAACAAATATAACATTGATAAGCTACACCCGCTCAACAGGGTTCGAGGCTTTCTAGGGTGTAGGGTTTAGAGTTTGGATTTATTAGGACAAGAGATGCAGGCTTGTAAGGCTGATGGGCCAGGCCAAGGGGCATGTCATCACGCACGGCAGTCCATTGAACGTCTACCCCTAGAAAGATCTATCCAGCAGCAAAGGCAGATCCCCACCCTCAAGAGAAAAAACACTAAACCCTAAGCCCTAAACCCTAAACTCTGCAGAGTGGTGTTTCAGTCAGCAAGGCAGAAGGCACGAACAAGCCCTAAACCCACTGCGCTGCTTTAGGGTTAGGCGTGGGTTTTCAGGGTTTAAGGGCAATATAGGGTTTATAGGGCTTGGGGGTTTAAGGGTCAAGGGGTTAAGGGTTCACGGCGTGAGCTTCCGGATTGTCGAAAGACTCTGGCAGCACCATGACATGGCCTTGATGGAGGGTTTAGGGTTTAGGATTTAGGGTTTAGGGTGACTGTTCAGGGTGCACAGTCTCTAGCAGACTTTTCGGTTCTAGCAACTCCCCAGTGCGTGTCAGTCTTTGTAAACTCTTAAACCCTAAACCCTAGACCCTAAACCCGTTTACAAGCTGCAGAGCGCTACGTTTGCAGCTTCAAGCAGGTTCGGTGTTGGGGGGCCCTGCTGCCAAGCATCATCAGAAAGCGTGGAGGGCTTGCTCAGCAGTCGTCGTAGCAGCCTAAACCCTAAACCCTAAACCCTAAACCCTAAACCCTAAACCCTAAACCCTAAACCCTAAACCCTAAACCCTAAACCCTAAACCCTAAACCCTAAACCCTAAACCCTAATCTGACTGTGAGGAGATCCAGCAGCGCGAGCTGCAACCTGATGCGCCTGGACACGGAAAGTTGAATTGAAAGCTTTACTTGTGCGGTTGTTCCCCCCCTCCAAGGGAGGAGCTAGTGGGGTTCCAAGAAAGTTTAGGGTCTAGAGTTTAGGGTTTAGGGTTTAGGGTTACGGTTAGGGTTTAGGGTTTAAGGTTTAGGGTTTAGGGTTTAGGGTATGGGGCGCACTGAGGTGGTGTCCTACAGCACTGTGATCAGCGCCTGCGAAGTGATCTG